CGCAGCAAAGTACTGGATGAGCGGCTTGTTACGCAGAGAGACAATGTACGTGTTGTATGCATTCATGTCGCTGCAGATAGTCAGTAGACGCTCCGTTGGTATCCAGGGCCAGGTGCTACCTTACCTAATGAGCTTGATGGCGCCATCCACACTGATTCTCTGCCGCTTCAAATGTTTGCAAAGAGCAGTGAACAGGCGCACGCCTACTTCCTGGTTGAACACATCAAGCACGTTCTTGTCTGTGCTGCCAATGAGCATGCTCGTGTGCGACGACACAACTTCCACAATCTTGAGTGCTGTTTGACTCGGCCCAATGTCCGACATCTCTACCATACCATTGGGCCCAATCGGAGGGTTGAAATCGGTCGGGTCCTGCGTCGTACCACAAAGGTACTCGACCTCGTCCATCAGCACATCAATACCTTTGTTGAGACCTGCAGCTACGCTCTCATCAAGTTGTGCCTCAAACCGCTTCTTCTCTTTTGCTGCCAGGCTAAGGAAATCATCCCGATCTGTGAGGTTGGCAGCAACAAGCTCCTGGAGATAGAAGACTTCGACCATCTGCTGTATAAGGTCTCCGACATTGACAAGCTCCAGGAAAGCCACGAGTGGCGCAACTCCTTCTTGGCTGTGGTCCGCCACCTCTCTCGGCTTGTAATCCGCCAGGTGGCTGACAGCCTTGTCGAACCCTAATTTCATATGCCGGTTGCCGAGAATCTGGACAAGGTGAATGAAAATCTGTTCCGACTGTTCTTTCGCCTCTTCACCAGACTGGCCGCCAAGCCGGACAAATCGAGCAGCGCGTTCGAGACTAGCCTTGGCCATGTGCGTCAGATTGAGGGCAACCTCGATGCTGAAAAGTGATCGAATTCCTTCTAACCGCGAGTTCATAATGGCCGCCTTGGCAGCAAGTTCACTCGTCGGGGCGTCCATTCGTGGGGTTGAGGTCCCATCGCCAGGGATAGGAGTGCCACTTCTCGAGGTCGGATCCAAGGTGCTATTTCTATTTGCGTTCGGTTTACTCGAACCCGAGCCGCCCATGGTGGGTAGCACATTGACGGGCATCATGACTACCTTCTTGAACGACGACAGAAAATCTTGTTTGACGGCTTTCCGGTTCACATTTGCCATGAACCGAGTCTCAGTAGTTAGCTCTTCTTCTAGCAATCGCTTCTCCCACACATCAACCTCTGCCGCCGACTTGCGTTTGAAATAATCCAACTCCTCTTGCAAGTACAGATCGACATGGGGCTCAAAACACCGCGTTATAATGCGAATCGCCTCTTGCTGGAAATCAGGCTTGGAGGCCTTTGTGGGATGGAGGGATACTGCAAGCTGCAGCGCTTGGTCGAAAATGCCAGCGACAGTTTTCAAATAGGCTTCGATGCTCACGTCATGAGCCTGGTCAAAAAGAGTTGTGAGGTACTCTGTAATGACGTCGTCTGCAACACGCTCTAAAAAGGTCTGTAGAACGTCAACCGTAGGCGGAAAAACACGATCAATGATGGCGGCCTCGTTATTGAGCTCGGTAGCTAGGCCCTTGAAAAATTCATGCGACGGCTTCAAAGTCACCTCATCACCTTGCAAACAATCGGATGGATCTCCGAGCCTCTCCTTGTCCAACATCAACGGGTGATTGTGGATAAAAGAGTCTAGACATGCTGCACCGCCATTCAATGCTATCAAGACTGATGCAAACCGCTTCATGCGGCCATCAAAGTCCTTTTCGGCGTAGCCTTGCTCGAACTCGCGAAGCACGGCGTTTTCAAAGATGCCGGTCATTGTATCGAGCTTTTCCTCACGCTGATGCCAGCCTTGAGCATAGTCGCTCTTTGCAAATACCTTGAGCTGGGCAAGCATTTGGGCTTGCTGCTCCGGGTCACGGTACGTTCGAAATAATATGGGGTCGGCATGACTTCGCGACCTCTCAATGTCGTAGTAAAAGGGAGCCAATGCGCCATAGACTTTGCCATACTCTTGTCGTGCCATGCCACGTATTGAACGCACGTTCGTCAGTACTTTGACGGCAGCTTGTGGGTCAACAATGTAGGAGCTTGGGGCTAGTGTTCCAGATGGCGACAGGGTCATGTCGTTGAAGCCTTTGTCGAGCGTCGTGGAGCGGGGTCGGCCTTGGTGGTCCTGGGACTTGCGCAGCATGTCCTCCTCTATGGCAGCATCAAAGAGAGTCATGCTGGTGTTGCCCACGTGGTCGTTGCCCGGTGCCATGGAGCTGGTGCTGCCATTGGGTACAACGCCTGCAATACGTGCATCCTCTGCTTTTTGTGCCTGCAACTTCTTCTTCATGGCCTCGTCAAACCTCTGCTTGGCCTCTGCTTCGTTCCAGCAACCCATACTCCTCAGTCTTTGCTGCCATCGTGTGTCGTCGTATACCATCTCGCGCATACGTCTCGAGGTGCGCGCAAAGTTGAACATGTCGGCGACGGGCAGATAGTCGAGGATGGTGTTGATGAGCTCTGCAAGTCATGGTCAGACGAGTGAGCCCATGAACTGGGCAGTTCGTACCTGCAGGTAGTACGGCCTTTGAGTCGCCCACGAGCTGCGTGGTGCGCAGCGACGCCAGCATGGACGGCTGTGTCTGGGGCATGGCCCGCTTGAAGTTTGACTTTGGCGGCATGATTGAGGTGGATAGGAATAATTTCCTCGAGAGATGGTCTTGAGCAAAGTGTTTAGCCCATACCCTGGGCCCAGCGAAGTTTCGCGTGGTGGTCGCGGGGGCAGAGGGGTGTTTGCAGCTGAGGGTGGAGCAGTGACGGTTAACGGCTTGGGCCTCTGGCGGCAGGGTCTGGTCGATCCGACATGGCACCAGATTGATCGCCCCGCAGCTAGAGCACATCAATCGACTACATCACACGGGGAAGGCGTAGGGGGACAAGGCAATGTTTCCAGTAAGAAGAATCGTGTCTGGTGGGATTGTGAGGATCATCTTGGCTCTGCAGCAGCGTGTGCCAAGTTTGGAATTGAGTTGAGCAGTGGGAAGACGCAATGATGCGCATCATAGACGGCAGCACGGGGGAGCGAGCGGCAAAGAAGCAAAGGCCGAAGCCGGGCGTCGGGCGTGGTTGATGACGAGTGTGGCAGCAGCAGGACATTGAGGGAAATGAAGCAAACTGACATGTTGCGGCAACTCGCCAAAAGCAACGTGGAGCGAGACGCCGTGGCGGTCGCATAAGCAAAGCTCACACTTGCTATGTATAGGAGTGGTGAAGAGAGTGAGAGGGTTGGGTTATGCAGACGGGCCATGGCAATGCCAATGCAAAGGCCAAATGTAGGCAGTAAATGCAAATGCAAATGGGAGACGGCTGCCACGTGGAGTGGAAAGCTCTAGACTCTGCCCCTGATGGGCGAAACAAAGGCCGTTAGTGGGGAAGGCAGAGCGAGTAAATGAAGCGTGGTGTTTTATTGAGAGTCGCAAGAGCGCGGGCAAAACATTAGGACACGGCAAGGCATTGGCTGGGGCGCTGGTGAGCAGGTGAAGGGTCTCACGTGCTCTGCACCACACCATGGGCAACCACAGGCAGCCAAAGGGCAATCCAGGTGCCAGTGCCAGGGCAACATTCAGGGCACTGTCGTGGTAGGCTGGGGCTATTCTGGGACGGGGCGGACGGTCCAGTAGGCGAAAGGTTATGCCTAGCTCTCGCCCCTGGCAGGCCGACGACTATGTTACAGCACAAAGTACAGTTTGTCTCAGGAGGTAGTGCCGCCGTCTAGGCAAGCAGGCAGGCAGGCAGGCAAGCAGGCAGCGAAAGAAAGAAAAGGCCCAGGGCACAAAATGACAGAGGCCACGCAAACATTAGGGCAGAGTCTGTAGGGATGAAACCCTGGACGGAAGGTTTCAAGCTGAGTTCCGCAGCACATGCCACCGCTGACCCATGCCATGGCCGGCGACCCACGGCGCACGACATTTGTTGCGACCGTGAACGTCAGCGGGCTGGTGGGTGAGTGAATCCAAGTGTCGAGTGCGTACATCCAACGTATAATGTACCTGCATTGGCTGCGCAGGCGGGCCGAGGGGGGGTCGGGGGGGACGGGCGACGGGGGGGGAGTGGATGGATAGCGTGGCTGGCCAGAACGTGAGTGACAACGCATTGGTGGAGGCCCGAGAGCACAAGACAGAAGGGAGAGGGAGAGGGATAGGATAGGGATCAAGAGAGAAGGGTGAAAGGGCCCTATGACGGCATGGGACCAAAGGAGAAGGCATCTAGAAAGGCGGGCGTGGCGGGCTGGGAGCCGTGGCAGGGAGTGGCAGTGGCAGTGGTTGGTGGTGGTGGTCCATGACACACGGGCGCGTTGTGGACAGAGTGAAGCAAGCAAGCAAGCCCAGCCTCGTCAGCAGGGCCCTCCTCACAAACACGCGACCGCTTATGTTATCCGCGCACGGCCCTCGGTCTTGTCGACGACGCTTTGAGACGCCGGGAAGGCTCAGCCGGGCGGCGATTGGCTGTTTCACCCCCAGAGAGTGGGGGCGCCGGCTCTGTCTCGTTGCATCCCCTTTCGCATCCACCGCACAAGACTCATCCCAGAGAAGCAATGTGCAATTGCTTCACTTCGCCCGACATGTGCTCCAGACTTGCGCCGAAAAGGGCCACGTACTCGCTGGGTGCCCGTCTGGCCCGTCCGTTGCCCCGTGAATGCATCATCGAGCCCATGGCCAAGCGTAGACGTCAGTCGATGGTGATGCTGAAGGACCATGACTTTGCGAGTTAAATATATATGTCCCAACTATCGGTCCACTGTCACAACTACTGATACTCCCGCTGCACCGCTGCTCGACAAACCCAAAAGCCGCCTTTGTCAATCTTAAAGTCTCAGACATAGTCTTGTCCCCTCCCCATTCATAAACACTCTTACGCCCGCCCAAATCAGGACATTCGCATCCATCACCACTTACAATACTTTACTACTATTACACTACCACTACCATTTCACTCACCCCATCCCAACATCAACCACCACCACCACCAACAACAACAATCACAACCATGCTCTTCGCCACAAACAAGCCCAAGATGCCCGATGGCAGCGGCCCCCCTGGAGATGGTGGTAGTAAGTTGCAGCCGCACTCCCCTTCCAAAAAAATAAAATAAAATAAAGTCCTTCGTGGTCCTTAGTTCCAGTGACTGACATGGTGCCTCAGGAAAACCAATTCCCCATTGGGAAAAATGAATGGATGGCTGCGCCACCATGCCCAATCAACTCCCCCAATTACCCTGCACCTCAGCACGCCCATCATATGTTTTGTCTCAGCAAGCGACTTCCATTTCCTCGTCACCACCACTACCATCACCACCACCACCATCTTGTTGCGCGCGCTTTTGCGGTTTGCAGGGCATTCCGCTAGTCCGCCCTGGATGCGTATCCCACGACGACATGGTCCTCCGGGGCGCAGCACTTTGCCGCCCAATTCGGAAAGTGCTGCTTGTGCTGCTACAATGGGCTGTGTCAGGGTCCGGTGACCGAATCCGCCGTCATTGCAGCAACTCGACTCAAAACTCGCTCTTCGTCGCTCGCCGGAGCACTTGGGGGCTGCCCGCTCCCTACTTATCAACGGGGCCAAACTCGCAGAGTGCCTCGAGTCTGCCGTGTCTGCCACGGCTCAGTGGCTTTGCTGCGGCTGTGCACCATTTGGGGGCCGCCGCTTGCACCAGCCCAGGCAACGAACCTTGGTTCACCATTCACACGCCCCACCCAGCGCCCTTTCTGCCTGCGAGTATTGCCTTAGCACACGATGCGCACTTCGACGCCGGCGCTTTTGCGCAGCACTCCCGGTCGACTAAACCAGTCACCCTCGGTGTGACTGCATTCTGAGTCTTCCAGAATGCCGCTACTCGACTTTGCAGCCTGGTGGTCGCCTTGTTCGTCAGGGCACCCGCCAATCACCGCCCGCCCTCCTTCCCGCACAGGGCGCAGTCTATCGTCCTTCGCAAGTCCAATTCCATCACCTGGGGCGGAATGCCATATGGTCCTCTGCGTCACCGCCTGGAGAAGGCAGTCATTGCCTGTTTTTGTAGGCTGCTGGTTTTATGACAGGCCTCAGGATTTCCATGCTCTTTATATTCCCTTTGTACCTTCGATAGACTGTATCTTACTACTACCATCATCACATCACTACAATACAAATATTAATACTACACACACATCTTCACACTCAAGCTTGAACACACACACATCATCATCATCACTATGAGACTTGACATGCAAACTCTCAACCTCTCCTACGGCGACCCCCAACCCAGAGACGGAGGAGCTCCTCATCCAGGTGCTCGACCAAGACAATCTTCAGCAATGCTGTGCTTCATGGCCGGCGACGGCCCTCAGCCCCGAGATGGAGGTTAAATGCCACCAAGACTCTTCTGTCCGAGTACGTCCGGCTCTCTAGCAACATCACCACCACCAACGCATTCTAACATGCTTCAGTTTACACATCCAATACTTCCTCCAATTGGACCATCCGATTCCATTGCATTTGTCAATGGCACCGCACCAGCGTAAAAAGACCTACCTACCAACACCTCTTACACGCACTGTACAACAACAACTCTTTTTTTTCCCCTGTTATTTGAGCGATTAGATTTCCGGCAACGGCTTGTCACACCAACCTGTACATTGGAATACATCTTCGGCGTTTGGGCTTTTCTTGTTATCTTTTGCGAAACACAGACGCGAGGGTATATTTGGGTATTTGAAGCAGTCTCTTTTGGGATGCATAGACGGCGTTGTCATTTGAAGAAGCGAGGGCGATCACCTCGCACGGGATATGCATCGCTAAGATTTTAGCCGAGTTGATTGGCAGTTTCATGAAGTTTGGAGAAGCGTTTTTTTTTCCTATACTGTACTACTATAGCTTCCGGCGTCATTGGCCGAATAGTTCAAGAACGGTTTGCGTAACCGCTAGAACAATACAAAACATACAGCTTGAAACATGCTACCGTCGATCGTGTTGAAACTTTGCGCCCAGAGAAAACATGTAACACGCCACAATTTGAAGAGCAAGAATACAAATACACGTTGCGCAATGGAGCTGTCAAGTTTGAGGTGGTGGAGGAGAAGAAGAAGTGGAACCTTTGGTGCATCGTTCTCGCACTCGTTCCCCCCCTCCCCCCCACGCTGCCGCCTACGGCCTCGGCACAGATGGTAAGTAATGGCATTACACGCCCACCTGCGTACGTATGCGTACATGCATGCTGGTTGCGTCACGCGCTGGCACTCAAGATAACAAGTACTCGCAATCATGTCACCGTCAAAAAACCCCTAGTGCACCCTGATTTTTCTTTGTACCAAAGAAACGCTCTCCTATATCCACATTCGCTTGGTTTTGGAGCCGTGTCACCTCATGGCAGACTACAGCATTTCCCCGCCTGGGTCTGTCGACCCCGCCCGATGAATTAAAAACTTAGTCACAGAAACTCCAAAAAAGAGTCACGCACGCACAAGGCACGGAAGACTCGACAGGTCAGAGGGCAAGGCGCCGCCAAATCACACACGGTTGAGCACTCTTTGGCGCGTCGTGCCCAGGCCCGACAAGGCTACTGGTGCTAACGACAATGGTGCTCGAGAAAATATGGTCCTCCTGGCGCGAACCGGACCAGCACCCTCGAAAAAGTCTTGAGTCGACGCCCAGCTTACTGCTTGCAAAGGAGCCAAGCGAGTGTGCAATATAAGACGTGCTAGGTGGCTTCCATCGCCTCATCCCTTGGGTCTTTGTTGATTTCCTTTTCTCTGCACCAGTCGCTACCTCGTCATCTTGCGACCGCCAATTCCACCTACGAACTCTCACATACACTCTCTGACCGAATCCTCCCTGAACATGGCAACTCGACCGACAGATAACCAGCGCGTGGCCTCACATGGACGCGGAGGTGCTGGTAAGTTGCTTGTATTCTCCTGAGTCTTTGATAAGCACAATTTCGCAGCGTCAGCTTGACGGGCTGCTGAGTCTGAGAAATTTTACAAATAGCGCATCCAGGCTCTAATCAGTGTGGAAGCCTGGTGGTCGTATGCGGGCTGTCGCTTGCTGCATAGAGATTTTCTTGGTGCCTATACTGACCCCTTACAAGGCAACATTGCAAAAGACGACCCAACAAACTATCCCAAGCCAGAAGACCTCGTCACACCGACACTCAAGGGCGACACCTACACGACCGGTCGGGGCGGAACTGGAAACATGGCTCGCAACGACCCCGAGCGCCCTGAGATTGCGCGCGCTGCTCAAGACGTCGAGGGCTCACCACAACCAGAGACTGCAGGCCCCAAACACTACGGCCGAGGAGGCGCAGCCAACGTCATCAGTAATGACACATCTGCACCGGGCAAGAGCGACGAAGCCAAACACGACGACAATGTTGCTGCAAAGGGTCTCCTGGGCAAGGGCAAGGATCTCTTGCATAAGCTTGGAAAGAAATAAACTTTTTTTGCCAAATGCCGCAGTCAGCATCAGTTGCGTGTCCCTTGAAAGCTTCAACTGCGGCTTTTGTTTGTTGACTTTTTGCATTTCACAATATACCCAGGGGGTTTTTGGCTATTCTCAATAAGTAATAGATGGGTTTATAAAAAAAAGGAGTTCTGCTTAAGTTATTACCCCGAACGATCTACAAATCGCCTCACTATCGATGCACGATCGATGAATACATCAGCATGTTATCTGTTCAAATATGTCACGGCAATTGTTTCTTTTTTTTGTTCTTAAACCTTCCAAAGTCCACATAATACATAACACACGGATGCCCTTTTTTTTTATCCCAAAAAGGAGACCCACTTATGCATATTTGAATCGTGTTTGCATCGGCATGCTACTATTTTTGAGATGCAAGCCCTAAGTCTAGGGATCTTGGGGCCACGGCCACGGCCCCCAAGACCAAGAGCGAGGGCGCGGGGAGGCGGGGATTCATGACGCTTTACCCACTGTGGGGCAATAAATCCTACGTACTACCTGACGCATGCGCCGCCTTCATCCACTACACACGCCGCGTTATTAATGAATCGTCTTTTGTTAAGATGCCATCTGTCCACTTATAGTATCAATGCGTATTATACACTCATAAATTACCGAGTCGTATGAATACAAACCTGCCAGGACCAAGCACCCCTTCTCCTTCCGCAGAAGCGCTAGTAGTGCCTGCACGGTATATATGTACAGTCCAAGCGCGCTCAACTCCGATGGCCAGTCGATATTGCTATACCAATCTGGAAGTTTTCGTCATTGGCGTAAAGATCATCTGGGAGGACCAGCCACTCGGGCAAGGGTCTCTTCGGCAAAAGTGCCGTGGCTACAGATGGGCGGTCGTCCGCCCCCCCCCCAAAGCACGTTTGAAAGAAAGCTGTGCAAAAAGACACTAGTTATTTCATAAGTTGACAAGTTGAGAAAATAACAACGGAAGAGCACTGACGAGTACTTTATTCAAGGGCCCTTCCTCATCCCCCCGTAACCTGGCTCTGGCCTCTTTTTATTTTTCCAAACTCTCTCCGCGGTGTGCGAGTAGTTTTGCATACCGCTTTTGGTAGTTCAACTTGTCCACACACCCACTTTAACATTCAACCCGCCCATCGGTCAATGCCTGCTAAGGACACCCCCTCCGCCCGTGCATTTAGGATCAGGATTCATGAAAGCAAGGGGGGCGTGTCTGCACACCCAGTCGCTCTTCTCCGAAAGATGCAGCGGCCGTCTATGTACATTGTCTTGGATTACGTCCCACCCGTCCTCTGACCTGAAAGGGAGGGGGAAATGTACAGTTCATGTAGGTGTGGTTCGCTTTTGCCACAATGATTACGCCTTGCCCCACGACGTGGTCTGTCCCAATTGGCTTGATACAGCATTTCTAGTCCTGCATCTGCGGGATCTTCGTAGCTACAGCAAGCAGGTGGGGTGGATAATGATGGTGGTGATGGTGGGGAGAGAGAGTGTATGTGTGTGTGTGTAGTTGCGGCGCCTTCCGTCTGTTTGCTTTCTACATATGGTATATACCTTTTCCATTTTCCGCGGCCAACTTGCATTCGTGAATTATTACTATATTCCAACTTATTTGGAGTATCTTGGCTGTAAAATCCTCAAGCAACCATGTCGACTACTACAACAGCAGAAACTCAGTCTGAGACCTGGGTCCATTACCATGACGGCGGCGTACCGGGTCGACGGCGCGTACTCAAGGGAGCCGAAGCAAAGGAAACATTCAACGCCCTACCCAAGATTGACTTTCAGCGCATATACTCTGACAACATTGAAGACCGAAAAGAGCTAGCCAAGGAAGTAGGCGCAGCCTGTCGAGACGTTGGCTTCTTCTACGCCGTAAACCACGGCGTAGACGAACAAATACTCGACGACACTTTTGCCGCCCTGCAGAAATACTTTGCCCTCCCCACCGACGTCAAGATGGAGACGCATAACCAGAAGACGGAGAAGTTTAGAGGCTACGAGGCATTTTTGGAGGGAAAACTGGATCCCAGTACACGAGGTGGTATGTCTCTCTCTCTCTCTCTAGTTACTCCTACTCCAAATTCTCACACATACACACTCCATAGATCTCAAAGAAGGCTTCCTAATGGGCGAAGACTTCACCGACCCCGAACAACTCTCCCTGCTCTCCTCCACCCCCTCCCCGCTCCCTCACACCCCGCGCAACCAATGGCCCACACACCCCTCAGCCCTCTTCTGGCGACCCGCACTCTACCGCTACTACCGCGCCATGTTCACCTTCAGCAAGCGTCTCCTGCGCATCTTCGCCCTCGCCCTGTCCCTCCCCGAAACCCACTTTGACAAAATAACCTCGCACCCCATGACCAACGTCCGCGCCGTACATTATCCCCCCCAGCAACGCGAGTCCGACGTCGGAATAGGCGCGCACACGGATTTCTGCTGGTTCACCCTCGTATGCCAGTCACATACTTCCTATCCCGCACTCGAGGTGCTCAATGCAAATGGCATTTGGGTCCCCGTACACCACCAACCCCGCGCTTTTGTAGTTAATATTGCCGATTTTCTCAAGCTGGTCACGGGCGGGGAGTGGATGAGTACTGTGCATCGGGTTAGGAATACAGGGGGGGAGGAGAGGTATAGTATGCCGTTTTTCTTTAGTCCGGATGAGGATGCTAGGGTGAGTGTTTTGCCCCATTTGAGGAAGGAAGGCGGGGAGGAGGAGGAGGAGGAGGAGAGGGAGTGGGGGGTTGGAGAGTATTTTCAGGAGAGACTGGGGATTGATCGAAGGACGCATTTGGAAGGGCAAGGATGAGGATGACGAGGAGGAATGTCCCGTGATGGGTGATATGATGGAATTGGGTGTAGTATAGGTAAAGATTCAAGAAATTATCGCTGGAAAACGCAATGTCAGAAATATATCACATTTCAATTTTCATACTCAATCTCAATCAAGCATGTCCATTCCTCCTCTTCGCCTCTTCAAGCGCCATACGCAACCGCTCCTCCTTCCCACCATCTCCATTTCCCTTGTGCGTTTTACTTTCAACCAAATCTCCTTTACGCATTTTACTCGCAACCAACGCCTTAATCGCCGCCTCATCACTTTCCAAAACTCCTACTCTCCTCGTATACTCATCCGCCAACTTCTTCTCCGCCTCTTTCTTCTCAGCCTGCAACTCGCGCACCTGCGCCGCACCGCTCTTGTCGCTTTCGGCCTGCGCGATGGCAGCGTCTGCGGCAGCGCTGTTGAGTTCGATTTCAAGGTCGTTGAAGAGAGACAGCAGTGCCTTTGAAGAGTGCTTGAGGGCCTCGAGGGTGGAGTGGGCGTGGGATAGGGTATCTGGGTCACCGGTGCTCTCGTCTAGGCGCTTGATAGCAGCGAGGATGTTGTCGATTTCGTCGTGTTCGGTGCTCAGAGCATGAACAACGATATCTTCTACAAAGTTGACGAGGTGGGTGATACGTCTTTCCTTTTCACGCTTGGCATTTAGGATAGCCTGCTTCTCTGCCGCTTCGAAATGCTTTTCTAGGTCTTTGATTGCGCTAATTTTGCCGGCGGCGTAGAGGGGCTGGATCTCGGTTTTCTTGTAGAGGCGGTCACGCTCGGCGACGATGCGGACGATGCCCTCGTGCCGCTTTTCGGCTTGCTTGTGTATGTCTTCTAGGAGCTCGAGACAGTCTTCGGTGCTGGGGGGATCGCCACCTTCGAGACTCTTGATGCCGGACACAGAAGTTTGGAGTAGATGTTGGGCCTCGTCGTATAGATCCATCAGCTGCTTAATTTCTGCTTGAAGTCCGTTATAGACTGGGTTGAACACGGTCTCCATGTAGCTCTTGTATTCCTCTTGCACCTCTTGTGTTTTAAGCTCTACTTCCTTCTTCTTGAATTCTTCTTCTAGTTGTTTCATTTCCGCATACGAGATTTCATCATTGTTGAACAAGTCGTCATTGTGCTCCTCGTTCTCTTCCTGGCGCTTTCGACGTGCATCGTCATTTTTCCGCCGGTTGAGAGATGTTGTCTTTTCCCATGTGCCCGTAAGCTCTTCCATCTTGACCAGCCCATTTCCTACACCTAATAGGTTGGCCCTGAGCTTCTGAATTCGATGGCTAGGTTTGCTCTCAAGCTGTCGTGGGAGAAGTCCGGCGAGGTATTTGTTCGGATCGTTTTTGTGCGGAGGTGCGACTGAGGTCGGGCTATGTGGTTTTATATTCAATGGAAGAATAGAGTCTTCGCTCTCATTGTGGGGAGAATTGTTTGCAGATGCATGAGCATCCGGCTGACCCGCTCCAAAGAAAATCTCATCATGACCCCTATGAAGGCCCGATGACGAAGCTCCGCTTGGTGTGTTCATGAAAGACATCGTTTGCCTATGTCGCAAGGGCAGGGGGTCTTCAGGGTTTCTGTTCGGCGGCACGTAGGCCTTATATTGTGATTGTAACGGTTCTTCAGGATGAGACTGAATTGGTGTTTTGTTCATGTCATCATCGATTGAGCTCGTTGGGGTCAGAATAGTGGTGGATTGCACAGAGGGTGCATTTTGGGGCTGCATCTGCGTAATGTCCATGAGAGGTAATGTTGGTTTCCGCGATATGATGGGCCTTCCACCTGGACTATAATCATAGTCATCATGTTGCGCTACGTCCGGCAGGACTTGTACTTTCAGATCCCGTCTTACACCAGAGCTTTTGGAGTTGCTGTGGGATTCCGAAACCTGCTCAGGTTGTATCGAAGCCGCCGGTTCGACTGCTGGATCTTGGGGCGGGGCGTCGAAAAGTGGGATTCCTCTGAAACTCGCCTCAGCTTTCACGAAAGCCTTGAATATCTTAATCTTTTCCTGGACCTGTGGTTCCATTGCCTCACCACGAAGCATAGCGATGTACCTCTCTAATGAGCCTACATACCACGGGTCAAGGTCTGGAATGAGATCTGCTGCAGTTGGCTTCGGCAGCTCCTTCGTCTTTTCATCTTCGAGCTGGCGTCTCAGCTCGGCAATAGTACTGTCGCGCTCTTCGAGATTATTATCCTTCCCCTCCATATCTTCTTTCAGTCTGTCGATAGTTAGACCTTTTTCTTTGACCACGGCCTCAGAGTTAGCATTAGCTTGGTCTGCTGTTATCTTCATGTTCTCAATTTGCGCCAACAAAACATCCCTCTCATCCGCTGCATGGATATTTGCGGCGTCGAACTCAGATTCCAATTTCTCTCGTTCAGCCTTGAAGGTCTCGGACTCGGTGCGGCGCTGATCAATTTGCTGTTGCAACTCTGCGCGCAATTGATCGATGAGTTCGTCTTTTGCCTTGAGTTCTGCAGCATAAGCGGTACTAGCAGGGCTCGCCAGACCAAAGGGAATACCACCCGATTGCCCTTCGTGCAAGAATTTTGATTGAATTGGGGTATGCTGATTCGAAGGCGATGACGCTCCTTTGAACTGATCTCGGGGATGTCGTGAACCCTCTGTGGGTTTAGGAGTAGTTCTCAAGGGCGCTACGATCGCATCTTCCACGACAAAACCCTCAGGGGTGGAACTTGGTGAACGTCGTTCGCTAGGGTGTGCCACGACAGAAGGAGGTGTAGGCATGTATCTCTCTACTGAATCACTTGATCCTGGATGTGTGGGGTATACTGCAGGACTTGGGAAGCCGTGTGTTGACGGAGGGGATGGAACGTGTGCTGGCAGTTCAATGCTATCTGGTTGGGCAATCTCAGTCCCTTTTCTCTCCGGCTTCGTACGAAAAAGGTCTTCATCATCAATCTCCTCACTACCACCCAAGTGCTCCCAATCCGAAGGGCCGCCAGCGGCCAATGCACTGAATGTTGACTTTTCGTCACGCGGTGGAGGTGGTGTTGAAAACTTTTGTATCGTAGGTTTTGGAGACGCCGTTTTGCTTTCGGCGCGTTGGGCACAATATTTGGCGAAAGCAACGGAGTTTATAGAGTCGGCACGGCTGTAGCGTGGATGCTGCCCAGAGGGGTAGCTAAGACTGGGTCGATTGGATATTGGAGATACTGGCTGGCTGTTTGGACGTGATACATAGGGGCTTGATGAGACAGTGTTAGTCTGGTTAGATGAATTGGACTCCTGAGCAGGTTGATTTGGCACTTGAGAATACTGCTGGTTGAGGTTTGAGGCTTGGGTTGGCTGTGGTGTCTGTGGAGCTTCATAAGATGTTTGTGCAACGTGATGATTGTAAGCTGAATCTGGAGGCGGCGGAGGCTGCCACTGATTTTGAGGCTGTGTCTGTTGTGGAAAGGAACTGGCCTGCTGGTCATAAGAAGTTTGTCCGTACGTCGGCGGTTGTGGTTGCTGATGATATTGACTTGGTGGATGCTGTGTCTGCGCAAATGACTGTTGCTGCTGCTGGCTAGCAGGGACGGCTTGGCCTTGATATGGTTGCTGTTGGTAGCCATGCTGCTGTGGTGGGAACTGAGTTGATGTTTGTTGCGATTGTACAGGTGTCTGTGTCTGCGGTGGGTACTGGTTCTGTGCTTGATGTCCATAGTGATGGTACTGGGGTGGTTGATTTTGCGCAGCTTGTCCCGTCTGCTGTCCAACGCGCGGCGGAAGTGGTGGAGGTTGCCCTGCTTGATAGGAAGATTGTGTACTCTGGTTTCCCTGTCCGTAAGGATTCTGCTCCACAGCCGGCCTCGTGTAAGTGAACTGGTTTGTGTCTCCCTGGAGCGGTTGTTGTTGTTGTGTCTGCTGCCATGTCGGGGCATTCGGCGGAGGAGGGCCATGAATACTATTTGCTAGATTGGGATTAGGTGGCATGTACTCTTGGGCACTTGTTCCATGTATAGATGGCGGGGCATATGCTGGCTGCTGTTCGTTTGGAATAACATTTGCATGGGCTTGCTGAGAAGCCGCGGGTGGAGCACTTGGGGTTGAGGGTGTCTGAATTGCACCATATATCGAACTTGGTCTTCCCGCATGCGGTGGCGGAGGAGCTACGTATGGGTATATCTGTTGTGGAGGACCCTGATTGGGGTATCCTCCCTGTTGGGGTTGAGGTGTGAAGTTGGCATGCTGCTGAGGCTGCTGGGCCCAATTCTGCTGTTGCTGCTGCTGCTGCTCCTGTCGTTGCATTGCCGCCGCAAAGCCGTATGGTTTTGGGGGAGGAGGGGGAGGCACATCTTGTTGCTGAGCATACGACTGCCGCTGTGCGCCTGATATCGTCCCATATGTGCCCGGATTGTATCCCCCCATAGTCTGCGGTTGCGATTGGTTCCATGGGCTCGACGTCTGAGTTGGGGTGGGCGTGGATGGAGTCCATTGACCGTGCGATTGGGGAGTAACAGACTGGTATCCTTGGGAAGCTGTGGGATCATCTGTTAGCTCTTGCTATGGGCATTTGGTAGCTTCGGTCTGCATGTTCATACCTCCATAGCCCGGTGGGGGCGGCGGTACTGGCGGGGGCGCGCTCTGCTGGCCTGCGAAGCCCGTCGCGCTTCCTGGCTGTTGGTAGCCTGGTGCTTGTCCGTAATTCTGCATGGCGATGTCTTCACCGAGATTGCGCGCTTCAACGAGAGCTGAGGGGTCTGCGTGTATGATTAAGCTCGCGACAAGTGTAGCACACAAAGGAGCGCACAGGAGGTACTAGCAATGGATCACAAAGACAGCGGACAATGATAAGATGGCATTAATGAGTCGGGTAAATACAGAAAAGCAAAACGACAGGTTCTCCAAATCCGTGCTTCGTATGCATGAGGCGCAAGGCCGCCTACTAGAGTCAAAATGTACGCAAAGTGGCATGGTGTCGCAGCCACGACATGTGGTTCGCTCGGCCTCAGCCTTGCCGCTTTTGGCACTACCATTAATACTTACAGCCCCCACCCCTCAGCCGCACCTCTAGCGCCGCTGCTCAGCAATGTACGCAAGAACATACTCTACATCTTGTGCGGTCGCGACCAGAGTCTCTTTCTCCTGCACGCTTTTCGGCGCGATGCGTGTTAGACCCCCAGCAGTACTCAAAGTCATCTGTGCCAAGTTAGCACAATGTATGCACCAAGTTTGTTTGTGAAACCCACCATGTCCCAACGATGATCACCAAGACCATCAACATCAGATTGTGGCCCCCTTGGTGCTGAAATCAGCCGTTCCAGCGAAGCATACTTCCCCTCTGTCAACTTCTTTCCTTGATGCGGCAGCCGCTTGTCAGTAGGCTTTGAACCAGGGCTCTCATGTCCTTGAGGAATCTGGTAGGTTTTTGATGATCCTGTTTTCTTCACATGGCTTCTTTTCACTATGGCGCTATCGTTGAAGGACTCAAAGTCAATTGGGAGCTGAACAGTCGAGGATCGAGCGAGCTCCGGGCTCTCAAGATGATTAGTTTGAGTAGTGACTACTAGCACATGGAAGACACGGTCTTGTAAAAGATCGCGACCAGCGATCTTTGGCATTTCGTGAAACATCTGGAAGACTGTATGTTGTTAGCAAAGCTCTTATGACCACATGCAGTAGACGGCACGTATGTTCAGTAGGCTGGCGATAAGGCCAGCAAGGCCTGTATGCCCTACTGTTAGATGTAACTTACTAGACATCTCTACATTATGTATTCTTTCCCCATGCTTTGATGCACGTAAAGCAGTGAGCAAGTCTTCTCGACCCCATGTCAGAAGCTCAACAGCATCGAAGACACTGGGCGTATAAACATATTCGTTGCGACTATGTTCTCGTGCAAGCAAGTGCGCCAATTCGGAAAACTTGACATGCGAATCACTGTGAGTCGATGTTCTGGCTAGCCATCGCTCCTGATTGATTGTAAGGATGCGTTTCTTGACTGAGATGGGAACTGGCAGCTCCTTGCTATCTCTAGTGGCGTTCAGTGGGGACATCATCACACTCCCAGTCTGGGGACTCCAGATTCCGCATTCTTTCGGATCTTTGTCAAAATCAACTTGCTCGATTTCAGTAAAGAGACTGTTGAAAAACTCAACTAAACTCGTCCTATGGTCTGACGCCGCATTTTCGTACAAGGGATGGTATGGTAGATCTAGTTTCTCCAAGCGTTTGAGACCCAAGTACCGTCGTACTGAGTGCGACACTGTGACGTTCGTAGCCACAGGCGCATGCCCGCTACGAGCGTCTACCGCGGAATCGTCTGGAGACGCCACTGGCGCGGATTGGGCGGGATTGGTAGACATTCCGAAGCGCTCCCTGCTGAAATTCTGGGCAGCGGAGCGGAGTCTTGGATATGCACAAGGCTGTACTGGGAAATCAAGGCGTTATGCTAGGCACAGTCGCCTTGCAGCGTTCAAGGCCGCGGACGCTTCGACACCGGTCTAGACCTCCGTGGTACGATGCGTCATGTGACACAAAGAGAGCAGGTACCAGAACTACCAATCACAATAAATCAGTGTGGCGTGTACGAATTCTTCCTATACATACATACAGATCTAGTAGTCAAGCCCTCGATTAGCGCGTTCCTAAACGGTTGGCAGCTGACGCGAATAGTAATAAAGGTGATATGGTGATTTCCGCTGGAATACCACAAAGCAAGAGGTATCTGCAAGGCTTACGACGTGCTCAGATGATTGAGCGGAGTATTGACAATAGGATTGAAGCTGTGACGCTTGAGCCAGGATGATGGCTAGCGTACAAAGGACATGGAGATGGCTGTGATTGGCTAGTTTTTAGTTGTGCGACGACCGACAGCATATCTCTTCGAAGGGAGTGGGTGCACATCGAATGTCAAAGACAAAAACGAGAGCATGATTTGGGCAATTCGATTCGAGAGGCGAGATGGCCATCACGATGGGGAAACGTGATTTAGGGAGTGTGGTGTGATTGTGGGTTTGCGGTCTAGATTACTCAACAGTGTGAGCTATGGCTTTGTTGTGCCACAACTGTGCCTGATAGTACACACTAGAAAAAGAAGTGAGGCTACTAATTCCAGTAGCTGTCCTTTCCCATTGGCTGTACATGGAGTGGTTTGAAGCACATGGGGTAAGTAGAGTAGGAAGCTGGAGAAGAGAAAACGAACAACTCAGGTCGCCTCTGTCTGATTGGTGGACTGTAATATGATAGCCTTGACCTGATGGAAAAGAATACAACATTGGGGTGCATAAGCTCGTCGCCGCTGTGTAAAGTAGACTAACCTCGAATGCCGGGTGCTGAGCAGGAGGCTGACACTCCGCGGAAGCCAGGGACACGGAGCCTGTACAGTAGACCCTCAGTGAAGCCGCATGAACGTTGCACGGCTACCAACGCGTGGACATTATGTATCTCCTTAGCTGCTGCTGGTTGAAACCCTGGTTCGGAAGGATTTTCGCGCCATACGATTAGCCAGCAATGAGTGTGCTCAAAGGCCGTCTATTCGCTGGGATTGTTCATCGGTATTGATTGACACAACGACATGACAATGCTCCACAAGCCTGCATGTATCCTGGTCCAGAAGCATCCATGCACAGGGCTTGAGCGCGGCCAGATCCCAATCAACATGGGAAATGTCCATCTTCAGCATCCTAGGCCTCATGCTAATGCTGCAATCAGCTGAGGAATTCCCCCCATCGGCCGTGGTAGGTCAATGGGCAAAGGAATTTGGCCATGGTTCTTCCGTATGCATGGCGCCGCGCCTTGGGCGGGAGCCAGTGCCAGCATCAGATGCACCCACACGCGACGCGATCCAGGATAGATATCATTTGATGCCTGGGGTTGAAAAGAGGGGCCAATGAGGGTCTTTTGCTGTGCCGAAGCTTCTGGTGTGAGTGGGGAGGGTGGGAAGGGAAGGGGGGGTGGGAGGGGAACATCATCTAGCGACCGAGTCGATGGCGCCTTGTCGATCGTTGCGACCACATGTGCTCGACATGAAAAAGGGTACCGACTAATGATACTGGTTCCCGACTACCTCTGGACCTGGACCCGGGACTTCACGTGACGCACAGACAGAATCCTGGTAATCGATCCACGATCGGCATGTCAAATCTCCCATGCAGGCTGACCTAGCAAACATGTGAAATCCACCCAATTTGCCATGCGATTCTCATGACCGAAACATGCGCAAATGCAGTCTCCATGCTCGCACCATAGGCTAAACTATCCATCAAGATCCACTCCTCCATCTGGGCTGGGTTCCCAGTGGCAAGCTAGTCGAGTGCATAAGCCAATCTATTGCCAGCCTTCATTTGTCACGCCATGTGGCACGCTTACCAAAGACCTTGTCTTCCAAGCACGGCTTATTACACCTACTTACATGGCTCTCTCAGCCAATCTGTCGCCTTGTGCCAACCACTCGGGTAAAACTGTCGATGTATGTACATGTACATTTGATATCTGTGTACATATGTACAACCTCCGCGCGATCCGCCAACTACACACAGAGCTAGCCGCGCCGCGGGTCCCTTTTCCGTCGTGGTATATTTCGTCACATTCAAAACTCCTGGGGGCGCTAGCATGTCCAAAATGACTACCTTGAGCCAACATCCCTCCACATGTGCCCATCCTCTCCTCTTCTAAACCGGCCCATTGGTCCAAAATCTTACCCTTTACACGCGAGATAAATCTTCCTTTTCCCCGTATGCTTACTGAGTGTCCAGAAAGCCAGCTTATTGCGTCAGGGGTATCTTCTTGTAATATCAAATAACATAAGTATGAAAACGTAAAGCGTCTCCGCTAATGGTTGCTTGGTCCGTGTGCCACGAGCCTAATAATTCCCAACTTGACCGACTACGCGAGCCGTTGCAAATCTTAGTCTAGCAGGCCATGCAGTGCCTACTGGTTGAGGCACTAAATAGCCCATAATGTGTGTCGTGTGTACCGTGGCGTGGTCGTCAAACTAACAATCAAGGCGATGCCGCGTTGACCGCCGCATCCTCATCCGCTACCCTTGCCGCCAACTCTCCTGCTCTTACTAGGACCGCTAGTGGACCCTGTGTGCGGTAGTCATGCGAGTGGTGAGGGTAATGCGGCGCCGCCATATGTGCCATGGGTCGGTCTAGTGGCGAAGGTGAAGGTCCTATGCTTGGGATTGGCTGGGGAAGCATACGCATTGTCTTGCTAGGATCGGCAGGTAGGGCCTGTTCAGGATAGCTTGGTGTGAGCACTCCTTGGCCACTGTGGCTACTTTCCGAGGACAAAGTCGTGTCCTCGTGACTGAGGCGTGGAAGACGAGTGGTGTCCCGCGGTGCCCGGCGAGAGGGAAAATCGGCTGGCGCTTGATAATGAGATGGATATGTATACGAGGGTGGTGGTGGCGTTGATGAAGATTGGTGGTTATTGTCCTGATTGAATGCAGACTGTTGATATGAATTTGAGTCGAACGGAACCCTAGTATCCCGTACGGAACTGGTTGCAGCTGGCTCAAAGATGCCGTCTCTTGCTATGACTGCGGAACGTGGAGAGGCGGAAATTGGCGAGAACTGTTCTCCTGACCGGGGAGAATTAAAACCAGAGAGTGAGCGATTGGTCGGCGATGTGGGTTTGGAGGTATATGGAGGACCTGCAGGAAGACGTGAAGGGCCAAGTGGTTGGCTGGAATCCGACTTTTGTTGCGCGAGCGTATTGCTATCTGGCTGTGTGAAACTTGATCTTCTGTTTACTGCTTGCTCATTTTGTTCATTGCTACCCGCCCGGGTTGAAGTGCTTGTCTCTGTATCCAGTTTTGAACGCTTGCCTTCTGCATATGTTAATACTCCATAGTCTTGAATGCAGCGCGAGTGCTATACCTTTTGTGGGAACTGAGTGCTTTGCTTTGAAATCTTCCAGATACTTCTGGTAAGCTTCATATTGCGGTGTTTTCTTGTATTCGGCCAATTCCGCGTAGTACTTTTCCTTGGCGCCATTGGCTTGTCGTTCACAGCCTTCGCGCTCTTCTGCGGGTAAGACTTGCCATTTCTCGCCAACCACCTTGGCAATCTCGGTGAAGGATAGATCTTGTCCCTTTAGGGACTCCCTCACCTCTGTAATTGGGTTAGCCATAGTCGCAGTGTGTTGGGGTGATACTCACGATTCGAGAAAATGACATAGGCAGACGGTGGGCGTTCCGGAGCATGCTCATCGGGCTGTATCAAGTTAGAAAAATGTATAGCTGGTTTGCATTGGAAAAGTTTCAAACAAACCTTTGGATGTCGTCGGTATTTCCGCTTGGCACCTGTTACACCAGATGAAGGGTTGCTTGACTCCGGTTGCTTGCTTTTGCTTTCAGGCCCTGAATCGTCACTTCGATACGAGCCTGCGGTGCTTCCCGCTCGGGGAAGATTAATAGGAAGTGGCTTCTCAGATGACTGTCCGCGCGATTCGGCAATGGCCCGTTGTAGTTTCTGTAAACAAAAATTAATGATACTACACATGAGAGAGCAATGCGCATGATGTATATACTTACCCGTCGATGACCAAGTTTTACGTTGAGGGAGCTCCTGCGCCGTTGTAAGCAAGGGTCCGTCGAGGGAGTAAGCAGGCAAAAGGGTAAACGCACAGGTCGGATTCGGTAATGTCGAGCACTGTCTCCCAGGAGTCAAAGCCTTCGGCCACGAACACTTGGTGGTACTGGGACAGACCCAATCGCGCCAGACGGTCTTTCAAGTCGCTCATGTAGGAAGGCGTGGGTGCGAACGCGTAAGTAAATGTAGTGTAGCGACCGACAGTGGAGAGACGTGGTGGTCAAAAAGGTTGGATAGGCCTGCAGGATTAGGCGACTAGTGGCAATGGTATTGAGGATCGAGCGTGATCGATAGAGGTCGAGTATGGCGAGACTAGTGTACAGGGATGAAAAAGGAAATGCCCGAGTGTTGCTTGAGCCAGCGTGATTGGTGCGGCGGCAAGGCGAATGCGGCGGATCGACTGGCAAGGAAAATCGAGGTTAGGGTCAAAGTGTTGCAGGGCGCAGAGGCGCAGAGAAGAGCAAGTAGTGAAGGAAGCAGCAGTCAACGACTATGGCGCATGCCTGAGCGGTGGAGCGCGACGTTAGTTTGGGGTAGGTGGGTCCCGGACCGATGCAGTCGAATTCTGTAATTATGTTGTGATGGCGGCAGGTCGAGTCTCGGCTACCGTCAAGGAGGGGAGCGGACGCAGCCTAGTATAGGCACGGCCAGAACAGCGGCCGACGAGAGTCAGTAAACGGCCGGGGCTCATTTGGCGTGTCCAGAGCCTTGCTTGGATGCGACGCGAACCAGAGACGCAGAGGACCCGGGTTGCGGTGAGCGTGGGCAGCTCCGGGTGAGAGCGGTCCAAGGCCCAATTGAGTGGGACAAGGCTAGCAGACCAGGCCGGGCGCAATCATGGAGGGCAATTGTGATGGGACGGGGGGTGAAGTCAACAGGGTTACAGGTGCGGCGGGTGACTGTGGCTGGGTGCTGGCGTGGTTGGTGGTGGTTGTGGTGGTGGTGGTAGTGTAGAAGGATGGTGATGATGAAGAGGGCGAGAGTGGAGACGGGAGACGATGGTGTGGGCGAGATGGAGGAGGAGGTATTAGTGATGACGATGATGGGGTTGTTGGTGGTGGTAGTAGTAGTGTAGTAGTGGCAGCGGCAGCAATATTAGCAGCAGCAGCAGCAGACGACATGGGAGAGGTAGGAGGGCAGGAAAATGGAGCGGGAAGAAGTGTGCAGCCCGGGCAGCGATAGGGTCGTCAGACGGTCGAGATCAGAGCAAGCGATCGGCGGGCTCGACAACAGGCCCGGACAGGGGATGCAGTGCAAGAGGCAGCGAGCGCGTTCTGTCGCCCTCTGTCCGTTTCTGCGAGCAGCGAGGGCACGCCAGGGCAGCGAGAGCAGCCGTGGGCAAGGGCGGCGCACGCGCCAGGCTGGCAGTCGGAAAGCTCGCTGGTTGCGGGATATCTGGAGCGCCTATGACGTGGGATGGGAGGCTGCAGCGCGTATAGCTGACGGTGCAAAGGGTACAAAACATGGCAGGCCAGAACCATTGTCCATCAACGAAGCGCCGATACATTGGAATAGGCCCGGTTTGCGGGAGCCCGGCACCATCGCATCCATCAACGCTGGCCCCCCCTCCCTAGGCGACCCCGTCATCCACTCTGCACGCCCTCCCTGGCCGCCCACGAGGCTGCTGACTGCACCCAGGAAGCATGCAATCGCTGCTTCAACTAATAACTCTATCCACGCTGCACTGCCGGGGGGGGGGGTGCGAGTGACGTCGGGCTGATACATGTCCGTGTATGGCCAGCCTGGGGCGCCTCTCATCTTTGGACCTAGTAGACTGTGTACTTACTTATGCATCGGCACCACCCACCAGCCGCAGTCGCTTGCACCCCCGGCCGCCGCCGCCGTCGCCGCTGATTTGCCAGCCGTCGGCAAGCAGCACTGGCGATGGCATGGCTCTGGCGAGCTCATCTTGCGACAACATGGCCTGCCTGCCCGTTCCCCCCCAGCTAAGCCACCACAGGCACCACAGGACTAAGTAGATCTGCGATGCGACGCAGCCCTGGGCGCTGGATGGGGACGCTGGTCGCGGGGGGAAGGGGTGGGTGGGCAGACACGAGCAGATGCAGCGAGCCTAGGCCGGGCTGCATCGGCGATGGCAGACGGTAGACATATCTATCTCGACTTTCCTCAGGCCACTGTCTTTCTGGCCATGATGCGACTCGATATGTAGGCGATGGCGCTGCCTGGACCGTTGCAGCTAGTTGTCGTGACGATCAACGCGCCAGGCCAGGGGCGGAGAGGAGCTCTCGGCATCCTGCTCCGCCCAGCGACTATCCACCGTCGCCGGCCAGCCGTACCATTGGACACTGCTCGCCGGCAATGCCACCCTCACGCCCAAGGCGGAGCGGAACGCTTCTCTCACTTGGCTGGATCCGTCCTAAGCTGGCGCTCAAACGTCGCCTAGTACATGCGCCCAAGTGGGAGGCCTTGACAAGCTGCAGTCCTTGCACAATGCTTGTATCGAGTGGGTGGACAGGGTGCATGTGCCCTTGAGTTGTGCATCACGGAGCAGAAACTGGGCTAGAGTGAGCGTGTGGTGTCATGTTGGACCCTGACCGATGTCATCGGCCTCGCCTTGGATCTACTCCACCCTCGACATCGCAATCACAATCGCAGCCACTCGCCCTTGCCTCCGCCCGCCGTTGAGCGGTGCGGTACTTGTCGCCGCCGCTGCCGGTGCCTTGCAGACTCAACAACGACGACGACGCGTTGCTGTTTCACTCGTCTCACCTTTTTCAACAGTCACGTGTCCCACACAAAGATAATTGCTGATTCATGAACCATACACGCATACACATGTATCCCATACATCCATACATACATCTATGCACGCTACCAAACCCAAGAGCCACGTGAACCGAAACGGCCAAAATGCACTACTCTCTGCGCAGCCTCCCATGGGCTACCTGAGATGCTGGCGGCACATGGCTCCGGACCAGTCGCACCAACCGGCCTGGTTAGCCGTCAACGGCAGGCGCCATGGCGAGTACAACACACTGATCGAAGACACCGCGATGAAGCCGTTTACCATCATGTGAGCCCCAAACCCGGCCATCATCGCATTTTGCGGCGCTTGTCCATGCTGCTGTTGCCTGTGGCCCTACTCCTCTAGCACCGTTTGGCCATCTCCTCCGGGAACCATCTATCATAGTTAGCATGGGACATCCTGGTCACGCTTGTTTCGTACCATGCAGATGTTGTTGCCGTTGAGCAGGATCTTGGGTAGCTGCACATTTCCCTCAGCCGGGTCACTGGCAGTCCAAATTAGCACACGACCATCATGTCTAGACACCTCGACCAAGCCACGCACATCTCTGTCACGTTCTCCAGCACCATGTCTATGCCATGTTAGAAATGCGCAAACAAGTCATCGGTCGCCTACTCACTGACGTAGTCGTCGAATCCAACCAGTTTGCCCGTGAATTCTGCTTCTTGTCAGTCTCTTCACTCTCATCTCTGGCATCCAAGCACACCTTTTCCGCCATTCATGATGACCCAGATCTGCGAACCAACGCACTTGTCGATGAGTTCTGCAGCAGTCAGCGCCCGACATGTAGTTCTTGTGAAATATCCTCACCCAGCGGCAATAGATTCTCGAGCGACATGATGGCGTAGTCCGGTGTAGGTTGGTTGTGTGTTGTGGTGGTGACTGGGTGGGATATCTTGGCAGAGAGGGCCATCTTCAAGACAGGCGGCGCGCTAGCCAACCAACATTCGCGAACAGGGTCCTGTCGCTCTAGCAAGGCAACAGACATGTTTTCTCAGCCACTGCTGCCGAATCAGCCTATCGAACACATACACACAACATTGGTGCCTAGCTAGAGCACTACCATGGAGTGCCATGCTCTTCAGACGACGCGCCTCTCTGCTGAGCGCGTCACACATCTCTCGGTCTGTTTGCGATGAAGTCACACCGAACATTCCACGAGCAGTAGACCGTCATCACATACAGAGGTGCGGACAAGACTTTATTTGCCATGTAGCACAGTACTAAAAGAGAAAAGAGACAGCGGTTCGCGACTCCCAAGACTATTGCACATGGCAGGAGCCATGCACGCCACCCCACCACGCCCAGCGCCCGCGCCTTCTTCTCCCACCACTTGCCAATGGAAGCGGGGACGACCATTCACCGCAAGCAGCACGCGCATTCGAGATATGCACCACAACTCTGGCCCAACCACGCATCCTTCTCCTCCTCTCAAACAACCTACTACGAGCAATGCAGCGACCACAACTGAAAACAAGCCCTCTCCGCTACAAGCATTCTCTACGCCATCTGTGAGACCTTCCCCCGCAGCAGACTCATACAAACCATTGACCTCTTTCTAGCGAGTAGGGTTATGGGACCCTTCATACGGGTTACGCTTTGCGACCACATCACAAGCAGAGACACGGCAGTCCGCTCCCGTTCCTCCAAGCACGGAACCTTTACCCCAACCCGAAGCCAGGTCACCAGAGTCGCCCCGTACTCAAGATGATTCAACACATAGTGGTAGTGGCTTGGAGCAAGATACACAGTCCAGTACAGAAGATGGTGCCTGTCCAGCGGGAAGCGATTCGTCATATCGCGTTGAGTCCACAGAAGAACTAGATTCCACAGACACATACGAAGTTTCTTCGCAAGCCGAGTCCGAGCCCGATGTCAGCGAAGAAGAGGAGTTCGATGCCGATGAGGACCTTGCCTACCAGATCCCAGAAGACACGTTACGTGCCGCAATGCTCGCTTCGCCCAAAACACGTGCAAGTTACTGGAGTGCAAAGCTGTACCAAAGCCCCGACGGCGAGTCGCTTTCAATTCATTATTGTAAATCTTTTGATGTTGCTGAGAGAGTTGCTCAGTACTTTTTGAAAGAGAAGGTTGTAGGCTTCGACATCGAGTGGAAACCTTATGGAAATCCGCATGCGATCAAACAAAACGCCTCATTAATCCAACTTGCATGCGAGGATAGGATCGCGTTGTTTCATATTTCGCTGTTTTCTGGGTACAAGGTCGAACAGCTCATGCCGCCTAGTCTGAAAGCCGTCTTGGAGTCACCAGATGTCATTAAAGTAGGAGTGGCTATCAAGGGCGATTTCAAACGTGTGGAAAAGTACCTTGGAGTTCAGCCTCAGGGCGTCTTTGAGCTGAGTCGCTTACACAACCTCGTTGAATGGTATAAGGTTGATCCTAGCAAAGTCTCAAATAGACTAGTCAGTCTTGCTACCCAGGTGCTTCAACACCTGCAGTTGCCATTGTACAAAGGCGAGCAACTAGAAGACGATGAAGACACGACGTCCAGTGTCCGGGAAAGCGACTGGAGCCTCCCACTGAATTTGCAACAAATACACTACGCAGCTGCTGACGCGTACGCTGGATTCCGGCTTTACCACATATTGGAGCGGAAACGGACTCGGTTGACACCAACACCTCCGCCGGTAATGCTTTGCGACTACGACAATAAGCCTGCCCCCCGTGCTAAAAAGCCACGTAAGAAAGCTGGATCAACTGCCAAGGTCAAGGAAGCTAGTGACAGCGACTCGAACCTATCAATCGATCTTGCGGAAGAGGAACAAGATAGCGATGAAAACACCCAAGGCTATGAAACGGCGCCAGAAGAACTTATGGATAGTCATGAACTCGAAGATCCTACACCTACAACAACTTCAGCTGTTCGTCCACTCAAAAAAGACAAAAAACTTGCAACCAGCCAGGCAGAGAACACAAAACTAGATGAAGATAGTAATCTGGAGTCTGAGAATGAGACTTCTTCTTCGTTCAGGCGTGTAGGACGGGTCAATATCTCGTCGTTGAATACGGCTGATGTGGGCTACCCGGTATTACCACAACTATCGCAGGAGGACACTGAAGCATCTCAGTCTAGCGAAGTTTCAGCTGACGCCGATGATGAATATGCGGATGCAGAACTCGAAGAAGCGCTTGGACACATGACGCTCGACGATGCCGGCAACTTGAGAGAGGACGTGGAGGTTGTCACTCCTGAGCAGGCTGGTTCATCATATGGCTTAGCGACTGTGTGGGCGCAGAATTTTGCCCAGTCAACTATTCCGCTGCCCGAATCGCCAGCGCCCCCTCGCATCCATGCGACAGTTTCCCACCTCCGTGCCTATCATCTATGGCATCACCAGAAAATGTCAGTGGATGAGATTGCGCCATTGTTGCGGAATCCGCCACTCTCGCACAGCACCGTCAGCAACTACATCCTGCAGGCAGTAACGCTGGAGAAACTTGATTACAAACAGGACCTGCTTAAGAAGTTGATACTGGAGATGCCTTCAGGTATGAGGAAGGGGCGGTGGAAGGAGTTGGCGAAGAAGGTCGGGGCATTGGGTTAGGTGGGCCTGGTTTCTATTGTACTGTGCATCTACATACACATAGTCCGTCCAGATGTTGCGACGATTGCCAAAATAACTGTTGACCATGCACTCCTCTTTCGGTATTGTGTGTTGGCGGCTTGCCAGCTGTACGCCCAAGTGACATGCTGTACAGTAAGCGCAAAGGCATAATTGACACGTTTCGAGGCATCGTAACTTTGGCCTCGATTCAGGTACCGCAGCCGTAAGCTCAGGGTCCAGGCGCCTGGCCAATGTCAGTCGAGTACCAGTCCCACACCCCCGCATGCTGGCCGCGAAACTGCGGTGAGGATCGCCCATCCCTGCAAGAAACCCCTCCAAATTGTATCGCAATCCTCGCTGCACTCCTCAGCATAATACCGACTTTTTTCGCCTCTTGTTGGTTACTTTGATCAAAAGACCTGGTCTTGACCCATCTCACTGCACAGAATACTGCCGCTACATAGCAATCATGGTAACTGCAGCCGCTGTATACCCCCCGCTTGACCAGCGCCCGGTCAAGAACACAGTCCTACTCTTCGATGTTGACGACACGCTCACAAAGCCCCGTCAAGTGCGCTCACCCTCGAATGACATCTCCTCTACAAATAGCTAACATGGTTGCAGCTGGTGAGCCCTGAGATGCTTCAATTGCTCTCGGAACTCCGACACAAAGTTGCCATTGGCTTCGTTGGTGGCTCCAACCTGGCCAAGCAGCAGGAGCAACTTGGAGGAGCAGTCGATGTCACATCGCTGTTCGACTTTTGCTTTGCTGAGAACGGGCTGACCGCCATCCGAATGGGTGAGACTTTGGCCAGCCAGAGCTTCATTGCCTGGATTGGTGAGGACAAGTATAAGGCGCTGACCAAGTGGTATGTCGAAGCCCGTGATTTTGCAAAGCATCGCTGACCCCAAACCACAGGATTCTTCACTACATCGCCGATCTCGATATCCCCATCAAGCGTGGTACCTTTATCGAATTCCGCAACGGCATGATTAACGTTTCCCCCATCGGCCGTAACGCCTCGACTGAAGAGCGAAACGAGTACCAAAAGTACGACCTCGAGCACAAGATCAGGGAGACCATGGTTGCAAAGCTCAAGGAAGCTTTCCCTGACTACGGCCTTACCTACTCTATCGGCGGCCAAATCTCGTTTGACGTTTTCCCTACTGGCTGGGACAAGACATACTGCCTGCGACACATTGAGGCGGAGAAGGACATCTCGGGAATTGTCTACGACAAGATTCACTTCTTCGGTGACAAGGCATACGAGGGTGGAAACGACTGGGAGATCTACAGCGATAAGCGGACCATCGGACACAAGGTCAAGAACCCAGACGATACCTACGCACAGCTACAGGAGCTGCTGAAAAGCTTCCAGTAGGCGTAGTTGCTTATGAGAAATGATGATTTATCCGACCGTACTGTGGTCGACGAGTATGTTTGCTTGCATCACATATCCGAGGAAGCACAGACGATGTGACAAGTTAAGAAAAAGACATGACCCGAAAACATCTGATTAATAACTCGCTATATCAACCAGGGTCGCTCTGAATCATGCTCTTGAGGAGCTCTTCACGACCTCTTGTCTGCATGAAGACTCATTTCCAAGATGCGTAATTATCGTACTCGGCTCGGTTGACTAACAAATCCTCCCCCGTCAATACCAAGAGCTGAACAAGGCGCTGCATGTATGCACCTACTAATGACTTTACAAACTCCACCTACTTACAAAGCAACACTAAGCACCTGGTTCTTGTTCCTTTTGCAGCCATACCACTTACCCGATAAACCCCAGGTTCACGAACCGACCCCATCAACCTACACACGTACCCTCTCGGTCCCCACGTTCTCAATCAACCCGAAACAAGATACCTGCCTATTTCTACCACCCACCACCCCTGCCCATTGGCCCGCCCAATCCCCAACATGTTCAACTCCCCCCATGTCCTCTATTTACTAGTCAGATCCTCCGCAATGTTGGGCAAAAAAAGGTGCCCGCCTTGCTGGGATGCTTGTATGCGCCGAGTAATCGATAATAAAATTGCAAATGCACGTACGTAGTACCTGCAGATCTTGGTTTCTTTACCGCTCCCTCCCCCCTCCTCTACGGTTAACCCAGCCAATAGCATGCTCAGGTGAGACAGGTGTTGTGTAATGGCGCCAAGAAACTAGGTACGGTTTGTGCAAGAAAAGGATGTGGAGAGGTTCGCCTTAACCCTCCGGGTAAAAACGTACATATATGCAAGGTCGTTAAGTCGGCTGTTGTTCTTACCTTGGTATGGACGCAGGGCACTGTTCTCTTCTCGTATTCAATTGGGGGAAAGCAGGGAGGTGGCAAGAGGGACGGTGTGGTTGATTGTATCCGTATATGAAGTCGGGCCTACACTACAAAGGTGGCTAAGTCGAAGCCCCAGAGCAGGCCCTTCTTGAAAGCCCTTTCCTGTCGTCTTTGTTTTGCTTGGAGCTTTCTTTTGCTACTCAATCTTTTGCTCCAATCATGAGGTTTCGTGCGGCCCCTTACTTGCTCTTGCCTCCGCTCGTGCTCGCGTATCCTTCTTCGGGTCCGGCTTGTGCGTCTCCGCAGACGGAAGCAGCAGACTCGTCGAATACGTATGATTACATTGTCACGGGTTCTGGGCCAGGAGGCGGAACGATTGCTACGAACCTTGCGCGCGCGGGACACTCTGTGCTCTTGATCGAAGCGGGTTCGGATGCTTCGCTTGATATTCGGACTCAGATTCTTGCGCTGAACAGCTTTGGCAACACAGATGTCACGTGGCATTTCTTTGTCAAACATGGTGATGACGAGGAGAGGCTGAAGCGGTACAATCTGCTGGTTTGGAGACTGGCAAATGGAGAATGTGAGTGGTTTTTGCCTTTGAGAGATGCTTTGGGTGAAAATGTGCTGATATCAAAAAAGACTGGGTTGGACGAGACCCAACCGTTGAGGGCCATGTCGGTGCTGAGAGACTTGGTATCTTCTATCCTCGCGGTGCGACGCTTGGTGGAAGTGCTATTGTAAACGCGGCAGCAACCTTCTTGCCAAGTGAGAGTGACTGGGATATCTTTGACCAAGGAACCGAAGAAGACCTCTGGAGGTCAGTTTCCTTCCAATTGCAAGCATTGTGTATGTGTACTAACTGTGTTAGTGGTGGCCTGATGCGCAAGTACTTTGAGAAGATCGAGCATAACAACTACCTTGAACCTGGCACCCCAGGCCACGGATTCACGGGCTGGCTTCAGACAAACATTGCCGACCGTGCAGCTCAGCAAATGGCTCCGCTTCGTCTCAAAATTTACGAAGCAGCTTTAAAGCTCATTGGCAGAGAACCAGAAAAGGTACTGGACTACATCACCAGCGATGGCAATTATCTTGACCCAGACCGCGATCAAACTGAGGGATTGTGGGCTTTGCCTTTCCATGTCGGACCGACATGGAGGCGCTTCAGCCCGCGTGATATCATTCTCCAGATGCGAAATGAGACAACTGCGAACGGCACGCAAAAGTATCCGCTTAATCTGCAGCTCGAATCCTTGGTCACCAAGGTGCTGTTCGATACCTGCGGTGGCAATGGCACAAAGCCACAGGCGGTGGGTGTCGAGTACCTCCAAGGCAAATCCGTATACAAAGCGGATCCACGACGAACTGCCAACACTACAGAAGGTGTCCTCAAGAAAGCTTTTGCTCGCAAAGAAGTCATTGTTTCAGGTGGTGCATTCAACTCGCCCCAAATCCTTCAACTTTCTGGTATCGGTCCTAAAGCCCTTCTCGAGAAGTACGGTATCCCAGTGGTCTCTGATCTGCCCGGCGTAGGCCGCAACCTCCAGGATAATTACGAGATACCAATGTATGGCGAGTCGCCAATTACCCTCACGGCCCCTCCTGACCCTAATGCACCAAGCTGCACATTTGGCGCACCTGGAGATCCATGTGTTGACCTTTGGTACAAGGGCGAGGGACCATATGCGCGCGGTGGCGTCAACTCCAACGCCTTCCTGCTCAAGACACCGCACGCCGTCGAGGGTGAGCGCGACATGTTCATGTTTGGCTTCCCTGGCAGCGTCTTCGGTGGTTTCGCACCTGATACAAACCAGAATCAGACGGGTGTGCCTCCGACAACCTTTTCTTGGTCTACGGTTAAGATACACCCACAAAACACCGCAGGATACATTCAGATCCAGTCTGCTGATCCCACAGAGCCCCCAGAGGTCAATCTGAACTACTTCGCTACCGGCGCAGAGACAGACATGGGCGCCATTCTGGATACACTGGCATTCGTACGCAAGGCTTACATGACAACTGAGGGACCCGTTGGTCCTGTCACTCCCGTGTCCCCCCCTTGCCCTCCATCTGATATACTTGAGACTGGGTACTGTAAGGATCAGGAGATTGACAAGCAGTGGATAGAGGACCAAGTATTCGGCCACCACCCAACGAGCACCAACAAGGTGGGCCCAGACTCTGACCCATTGGCTGTGCTAGACTCCCGCTTGAGAGTCAAGGGCGTAGAAGGCCTGCGTGTTGTCGATGCAAGTGCTTTCCCAAGATGTCCCGGCGCATTCCCAGCAGTCTCTACGTTCCTGCTGAGTTCGAGGGCAACGGATCTGGTCTTGGAGGACGCTGCCAAGCGCTAGGTCTTGAGTGGTTGATATACGAAAGAAATAATCCATGCCATATTGTATTTGCATACTCTCATGGTAGAAATTAACGATATGCTCTATAATTCCCCTGTCCCAGTCAATTCAAAGTGAAGTTTATCCAAATTGATATTGCCAGCATCGTGCACAAGTTGGAAATCGTTTTTTTCTGAGAGAATGCCGTACCACTGCCAACTGTATCCTCGGAGAATAGTACTAAAAAGGCTGTGATGCTTAGCAAAAAAAAATGAGCAAGAGAAAGAATGCAAGTAAGGTTGAGATTGAGAACAATATGCATAAACCTAGGCCTCGTACTAGCGTCCCTTACCCCACCAACGACCGCCCGCCCGTTCCCCGACGCGCCAAAAATTATTCTGTCGCAATCCTCGCCCGCAAACTGCGCGCATTCAACAAGGACTCCTCTCAACCCATAACTACCACCTATACTATACTACACGCTCTACCGGTATACACTCTCCCAAGAAAAACTTATCGCAAACTCCGGCTCTCCTCACTCCAACAATCGAACGTATACGCACAACGCAAAACATGAAGCTCCTAACCCTCAACTTCCTCACCTGCGCCATCAAAGCCTGCAAAACGAACCCCGCATCTTTCCCCCTGCACCCACGCGACGCCGAGCTCGAAATCGTCGAAGCAGACGTAAACCTAGCGTTTCTGAAAAACATTCTCCCCCGCATTCTATGGAATGAATTGAGGGTGATATGCAGTGAGGTAAGTAAGACGGCAATCTTTCCCAACATAACATACATCGAAGGACCCCCCACCCCCCAAAAAAAAGAGAGAGAGAAAAACAAAACTTGTAGTGTGAATAACATGCTGATACTTGTCTTCCAATATTTATAGCTTGGTCTCCCTGAACTCCCACCTACAGCACCCACACCCGCCGACCTCGTCGAACCTTCGTCGTCTTCCGCATCCGCACTAGACACCACCGATGCGACACCAGCCGCCGATGCACAAGAGGAGCAGGAAGAAGAACCGAGCCAGACGGCAAAGGATCTACACAGAATACTGCTCGAGACATGTATAAAAGAAGGGAAGCTGGTCTGTGGAGCGTGCCAACACGAGTACGCGGTGAAAGAAGGTGTCGCGAATTTCTTGTTGCCAGGACATTTGGTATGAAAAAGAGATAAATAAAAGAAGAAGAAATATGAAAGAAAGGGAAGGAAAAAAAAAGACAGATTCTAGGGAGACGAGCGAAAAAAAATGTATAGGGCAGAGGCAATTATACGGTGCTACGAGAAGGCTGGGAGGGGAAGGAACTTTGGAAAACATGGGGGCTACCAAGTACTTTTTCCATGCGCCCACAGTAAAGGAAAAAGATGTAGAGTTTTGCGACTTTCCATAGCAGATGTGGAAGGGGGAGGGGGAAGAAGTGGTTCGAGGAGAACGGGAACAATTGCGACTTTGATACCCCTTTCATTTAAAGCACAAACACGTAGTAGACGAAGGCGTCGCATTACAAAAGAGAGAGAGAGAGAGAGCTGAAGAGACTCGCGACCATTCGGGCCCAGCTTTAAAGCTATAACTTTTTCTCTCCTTTAGCCAAAAAATTGGTATCTAAAACATGCGCCCAAAACACCGGTTGCTGTCACCATTTCTTTTTCTTTTTATTTTGCAATTGCAGAGGGAGAGTCACACCCAGTCTCTCCCTCCTTCAAGATCCAATTGCACGGTTAATCTGTACCCGCTTGTCCTCACCACCGGATACAATACCCACGTGGCGGTCCCAGCACACGCCGAAGACCTTTGCGCCCTCGCCATGGCTCTTGATATTCTCACCATCCCGCGATTGCCTGTAAATGGTATATACGCTTTCGCCCGTCAAACCCTCTCCGATCTGGCCACCCGCACTAACGTTCCTAAGATCCCATATCTGGACCGTACCATCGTGAGACGCAGACACAAGGTTGTGTTCGGACGACGGATCCGTGTCGAGGGATACAACAGCGTTCTTGTGACCTCGTAGCGTCATGACGCTGATCTGGGTAGCCGATGCACGGGGGTCGACGAGAGTGATGTGGCGTGCCGAGGTACCGGTTGCCAGGAGGTTTCGGGAAGGAATGGCGCACAAGGAGAGGAGCGAGTGGCCCGTTGTTCGAGTGTCAACACATGTAGTGGTAGGCAAATCCCATGTCTTGAGCGTGTGGTCGTGTGAAGCAGAGTATGCGACTGTGGCGTCGTCTGGCTTGAAGATTACGCTCGAGACAGGCGAACTGTGGCCGGTGAATGTTGCCAATGCGCCGCGGGCAGGAACCGTACGATCTGGCTTCGAGAGTTTTTGTCGCTTGTTGGAAGCGACTGTTGAGTTCGGAAGCAGATTCGATGGTGCGACTGGATTTTCCTTTGCGTTGCTCGAGAAAAGCGAAACTGTCGTGTCTGAAGATGCGGACAGGATCCGGTTTGAAGGTGCGTGGACTGCAACGTCTTCTACGCCCCAGCGGTGGTTGAAGAGTTCCAAGGCGGTCGTGATGGTTCGCGCATCGTCGTCGTATTTGTACACACGAACAGTGTTGTCCAAGCCAGCGGCCACCATCTTCTTTTCAGACAACCACTTTGCCGTCTTCAAGCTGGTAATCCGACCTCCATTGTTGGGCGCCTCGGACGTCGCCAAAACGTCACCTGATGTGTTCCATACTCTCAGAAGCCCGTCGTAACTTGCGCTCAATATCCTCTCTTGTCCACTCTGTACTCCCGATAGGACATCCACTGCAGAAACCCAATCGTCATGTTCGAAACTCGTCACGTTTAGTGGTGGCACCAGTGCCCTAGTGTATTCTACATCGAGTGTCGCTTCGGCATTGATACCGTTCTTGGTGAGAAACTGGTCGATGGTTGTGCGGAGGAATTCGCCATTGATAAGTATGTCGAACGGAATGCGGTTGTCATCCCCGCGATGTAGGAGCTCGTTTACAAGAGTCGAAAGCTTGTGGCGCGTTAAGGCTACAGGCGCATGCTGTTAGTACAGTGTATGAAATTGGGCAATTGAGGCTTGCGCAGTGTGTTGCGGCCATACTCTAATGGTAAGAAATTGCGACATGCTACGGCACAAGAGTGCGCAGTTTATCATATGTCCCGCGATGGTACTTACATGTTTGTACAAGCAAAGTACTAGGCTCCTCTGAAATTTGCAGGCTAGAATCGCGCGTAGTGAGGCGAATCTGCACCTTGGTCTCTGCGGCTTCGGTATCCATGGCGTCGTTATGTGGTCGTTTGCTTGTCGAAAAGTGGTGTGCAAGTGACGACGGATTCTGTGAGCTTTGGAAATTTTGGGATCTCGAACTTTTTCCCAAGGAGGTTAGCGCAAAAACATCAGCCAGTCGGCGTTCGCGAACCTCCGGCAATCTGAGATGTTGCTCACTGGACTTGTTCATTAATAATTTGTGGATTGTGGATGAATGGTCAGAATACCGAGTAATGATATCATTCCATAGAGATTGGTTTCAATATTAACATGACGGTGCGTAAATACTTGATGTTTTGGTGCTACTGGCTTCTCTTCATTGCACGTTGGTCCTCCTGATCTCAGCAATTGCTCGCCTCCGATGATCACTTGGTGCGAACAACGCCTCAATCAAGCCTATTACCTCCTCAGCTTCCATTTCTAGCTTCAGTTCTCCGTCTGTCCAAAAGTACTTGATGTCTGCGAGGCTACTGTCCAGAATTTCGCTGAGATATTGGAACTTGAACCAATTAGGTGTATAGACGCCAGCCATGTCTCTGACTTCTCCATTGTCGTCCTCTGTCTGGAAGTGCTGTGCGAGTGTAGAAAGCGAAACACAGTACCCATGTAGTTTTCGAGACTCGTCTTCGGCAATATCTGCTTTGTCCTCTACATCATTAATAAACTTTGTAAGGGCCGCCGATACTAATGAGCCAAGAGACTGAAGCAAAGCGCTCTTAGAAAGGACGTTTTGCCATTGGCGCTTCACGTCTCCTATCCTGTCGATGGTTGTAGCAATAGCATCGTCACATACTGTGGCGAAAGGAACGTTGGTGCAATCCTGAAAGCCTTGGGCATCCTCCAAGTGATCCCTTATGATTTGTCGTTGCGATTCCATCTCACGTCCATAAGCTCGTTTGCCGAATCCATCAATGGTCTTGATGTCAGCCTCCAGCAATGGTTTTAAGCGTTTCAAGGGCTGCAGATGTTGCGGTAACGTAGATGATGCGTCCTTCTCGGCTTGTTCTTGTAAGAAGAGCCGCAGGCGATCTGATAGCCGCTGACAATCGTTGTAGATGAGCATGTTACTCGCAATGTCCTTCGAGTAATGCATGGCAGCAGTGGCTCGGTACATTGCAAGTAGTAGACTTGGTATTGCGTATAGGCCTCCACTTGCAGGTGAAATGGCTGATTTGACAAGATCTGCCGAATTGAGAGCGTCTACGTCTCTGAGAACCTGCAAAATGATATCCATGATTGCGTCAGGAATTGCTGTCACGGTGTATGTCTCTCGCAGTGTGACCTTTTGGTCCGCAGGTGCCTTTTGCTGGGCTAGTTTCTTTTTCGAATTCGGTGATTCTGGTGCTTTGACTGTGGGGTTCGTCGTGGCAGTTGGTTTAGTGTCGGTTTCGTCATCCCAATCCGCACCCCAATCCTCGGCATCTTCAACATCGGAGGGTTTCTCCTTGGGCACTTCTTCCTTGGGCACCTCATCTGGTATGTCAACTTCCTCACCCCATGCACTCATGTCCTCTTCTTCTACCGACACCGTTTGCTCCTTAGTCGCCTCATCCTCACCCTCACCATCCCAATCTGCTGCCCAATCGTCTTCTTGGTCATCGCCAGCGTGTAAGGCATCTCCCTTGGATACGATCTGTGTCTCAACCCTCTCCACGGTCTTTTTCTCTAGTACCTTCTTTGGAATCATGGCTTGGACTTGGGCGATGGCGGCTTCTTTTTGCCTGGCCAGCCAGAGTTCGGGGGACTTGTCGACCCATTCTGTCAGACGGCTCTGACCAGACCATCCCAG